TCAAAAATATAAGTCTTTGTTTTACTATGGTTGCAAATATCAAAAAATTTCTCTATGTGACATGGCACCAGAGTTAAGTTAGGGTTTTTCAAAATGCTGACACGCCGAGCACTAAAGAATACTTTGAGCATCCATGGCATATACATATATGATCATGATAAACTCAGATTGAAACTTGCCTATAAATTTCATTACCTAAATATTATTTAGTTCTGCTAACTTATGTCTTCTATACAAGTTATATTATATTTGCAACCAACAGTCCACTAATAAAGCCCTCTGAGACCTTTACCTTTTTCTAACAAAGAGGGATAAGACTGACCTCTGAGGCAAGCAGGATGGTAAACCGGTTAGGCTATTTAAAATAAAGTTTCATTATCTTGAAGTATTATAAATTCCCAAATTATAATATATCTTCAAATTACTATACACATAGTTTAAAAGATTAAAAATTTTGTTAAAATTTTTTAAAAACTGTAAATAAATAAATAAAGAATTGCTTCCCTTACATCAGTTCCCATTACATCAGAAATGTACTTTTTTCTGTTAATTTGCCTCTATGAACTATAACGAAGAGCTTGAATAATTGTACTTTGAAGTTCATAAAGGATCAAAAATAGTAATATATCCAATCCATTTAAAAGTGATACAGACTTTTATTTTAAAGGTTGTAGAGGGCCAGATTATATGACTATTGCAAACCTGGGAAATCTTTCAGATACATGAGATAAAAGAGAAAATTGAAAAGACAAAAGTAAATAAATTTTCCATTTTGTACCACCATTCAGTATTAATAGAACTATTCAGTTAACCATTGGTTAAGTAGCTAATGATGCAAAAGTAACCATTCAGATTTATCTCCCTACATGATTCACATTATTAATGTGATTTCTAGACCTTTCAGTAAATTAAAATACCTGTGTTTATTAAAAAAATAAGTGTTTTAAATAAAAACATTAATTGAAAGTATAAAATCTTGGGCACTTAACTGAAATTAAGGCATGGGTCATGGTCATTTAAGAAAAAATATCACTAAAGACTGATATATTGTGCCAGGACATGCTTCCTTCTGTGTGCCTTTAATGTGTCCAATTCTTTTAACTTCAATCTATTTGGATGGCAAGGGATGGGTTAAAAATGGGCAGCTTGTTCACAAACACAAACCTTCTCCTGGACATCTTATGAGTGATATGTTAATATGTTAAAATCATGAAAAACCTTTCTAAAATTACAATGATATATATGCCCTTTCAACACAAAAACGTTTGTCATTATCACTGATGGCATATAGCTTCTTCAGATCCTTTTCCCTTCCATAGAATTCCATTACAAACACCACCACATGACTAGTAACTCAATATAAAATAACTTCTCCCAAATTCTCCTAATATGATCAATCCCCAATAAGCACCAGAGGACAAATACCATCAACTTGCACAACAGAGTCCCAAGGTCTAAGAAGCTTAACACTCATATATCAGTCATGGCTACATGGCCGGGAAAACGAACATCATGAAGGACTCCTGCATTCTTCACATTGTGCTCATGGACAAAGTCAGTGTAGTTTCTATGAACAGGCTGGGGCGGGGATAAGGCCCTTGTGTTCCACTGGTTTCCACCACGTTGGCAGCAGTCACTGGCAGCAGAGAGCCTGGATGGTTGGGGAGTGGGAGGGGAGCACAGTTAGTCAATAGGAATAGGAGAAAATTGATGTGTAAGAGGTAATAAAAGAGAATGACCAGCATGCACCACTGCTACAAGCAGTTATCAACATCTCCATGCAAGCACATTCAAGAATAACAAAGGTGAGGGAAATCCCACAAAGTTACATGTAGTGGAAAATGTAAATATGAAAATATGTATAAGTAATCAGTCTGTTAAGTGAATTAAATAAAGAAAAAATTTCATAGAGAGCAAGACACTCTGTATCTGTCCTTGATGTTGCTATCAAAATCAAGGCAGAAATGCTCTTTGAGGTTCTAATAAATAGTATTTATAATCAACTTAGTTAAAATATGTCATAGGGCAATTCTACATAAAGATAAAGGCACATATAAAAAAGGGCAATTTTGAAAATTATTCCTCAAATTAAGTGATCTCACAAATTAAGTGAAATCCAGGAAACAAAATTCAGAATGAGGTGTGTTTTGTTTTGTTTTTAAATCTATGCTGAGAGGCCATGTAATTTTACATCTATGTTCTCAATTAACAAGAGAACCATTATTCCTTCTATAATCAAAGTTCACGGGAGCTTAGAATGAAATTCAACAGGTACAGATAATGTGATGAGATTATAAGCCCCCTCCAAGAAATAGATTTAATAACTGTATTAGATGCCTTTTACACACAGTGCTATAGAACAGGCCTATAGAACTATGAGAGTGAAACATGCATACAAGCAATTCCTGGTTAGAAATTATCAGAGTCCTCCAGTAGAAAGAAAACATTTACCAAGGTTCAGAAAATCAGGGTTTTATGACATGGCAAAAAAGGGCAGCATATACTTAAGATGACTACAAGTAAAAAAAAATAACCTCAATTATAAAAGATATTTAAAGATATTTAAATATAGTATTTTTTCTAACTCAACCAAAACATAAATATTCACTATTTTTCCTTAGGAAAACTGAAAAAACTGGCTAAAAGTTTTTTACAATAAAATCATCTTCTTTCCTTCAACTGAAATACAATTTGTTCATTAGCTATAACCCATAAAATTCATGACCCTCAATACAGGGTCTCTGAAAATTTAGGAAATTAAATTAGGTTTATGTTCTCCAAATATTATTCAGTTTTTTAATAAATAGTTTAAAGATTTAAAAGAATTGTATCTCAAAGGATGATACATATTGGATAATTCTAAGTTAATGCTATACCAAATCATTCACTGCAATAATGGTGTCATTTACAAGACACTAGGAAGAAAAAGCTAAAGAACTGGACAGAGAGTAGGTTTACATAAAATTAGTTAAACATTGTCTGCCAGAAACAGAAAAGAGTCCATTGTTCTGCCCAACTGTTCAAACCTAGGGAACATTTCTAAATGTTATTAATGTATCACTTTCTAAAGGAGGACTTTTATAGTCATTTAAAAGTATTAAGAATCAAAGCATGCAGAAACAAAGAATGAAATATGGAATGCATTTTAAATTAGGGCTGGGGAATCCATTAATGCCAAGACACGTCGGTTCTGTATTATTCCGTGCCACTGTTGACATACTCTGAGGCTGATTAGATTTTAAAGATCATGACTTTACTCCATTTCAGCTAGGGAGGTCACAGCAAAATTACATAAAGGAAGGAAACACAGCTCCAAATTTTTCATTTTTCTACTAAGTCAATATGCTCAGATTCAATATTCTCTCTTTATAAAGGCTGCACCAAAGGAGCTAATTAAATAGATTTAAATATGTATGCATAAACATTGGAAACCTCAGTAAAGATTTAGTGTTACAATACAGGATGCAAAGAAATCAGACTCTTGTTCCATAGTAATATAAAAGATAAGCATGTATTAAGAAAATTCTTGCCCTAGCCGGTTTGGCTCGGTGGATAGAGCATCGGCCTGCGGACTGAAAGGTCCCAGGTTCGATTCCAGTCAAGGGCATGTACCTTGGTTACGGGCACATCCCCAGTGGTGGGTGTGCAGGAGGCAGCTGATCGATGTTTCTCTCTCATCGATGTTTCTGGCTCTCTATCTTTCTCCCTTCCTCTCTGTAAGAAAATCAATAAAATATATTTTAAAAAAAGAAAGAAAATTCTTTTATAGTTGAAGTCCCAGAAGTACTACATTCCCTTGCTAATAGGATTTGGTGATAACATCAAGGAGATAAAACATAGCTGCTTATTGGAGCTGTGTTTTCAATAAGAAATTGAAAAAACTCTTAATGGCTTAAAAAAAAAAAAGACTAAAATTTGACATTTAGAAGCCTCACTATTCATACTTTAAGTGTGTTGTGCCCACATGACACACACAGAGTCCTCCCCACCACACTCTCAAGTAGAAAGAAAAAATAATAGGGTAGATGCCCTCAATTTCAGAAACTAATCAAGTTATTTGGAACTGAAGTAAAAATATGCCCAACCATCAAGAGCAAAGCACCTTGCAGTTAGTTAAGCCAAAATAACAGCGAAACACAATTACATAGGAAAGACTGAAAATGATCACCAACCACTGTGGACCCACCACCATGAAGGAAGAACTGGTTGCACAGAAAGCTGACCAAAACCTTGAGATCACCACAGAAACTCATTAGATTTCAGGTAGTAAAACTAAGAGCAAGAAAAAAAAAAAGAGAGAGAGAGAGAGAGAGAAAAATCCTATGAATTATCAAAGTTCATTTCATAGACACAAAATTTGAACAGATGATGCAACCAACACGACCAGTCAATCACATAATTCCCAAGGAGCGTCCCAAGCCACATACATTTAATTGGGGAAAAAATGAACCCCACAGGTTAACCCAATAAGCCACAAAGTATCCATATTTGTATACTTACTATCAACCTAAAAAACAAAACAAAACCCTGGAAATCTAAACAAATGAAGTATCTTCCCTGTCATCAGGAGTATTTCATGCTTTGTTTTATTGGACTATAATCATGTTTCTCTTATGCCTTTATCTACAGTCTTTAATGAAGAAAATACATCCAAAGAGTAGCACCATGTTGTATGGAATAACATGTAACAAACATATTTTCCTCATGGATCTGGGAAAAGGTTCTACTGACTATTATTGAAATCAAAACTCCCAGATCATGCTAACCAAAGTAAGGAGAGCTGTCTGATGTTCTTCATTTAGACAACTACACTCCAGAGCTTCTTCATCCATAGCTCTTATTTTTCCCATCCCAATAACTGCTTAATAATATGCCTCTTTTCAGCTTACAAATATGAATAATTTGCTTTCAATCATTTAAAGTACTCTACAGTTATAGCTGGGAACTTATAATACCAATAAGCAAGCAACATTTTCTTTTGGCTTAAGGAGCTAACAAACCATTTCCTGTCATGCTGGTCTGTTCCAGGACTCCTTGGAAGATTTTCTATCTCCACCAGCGCAGGACCAGAGGGAATGGAAGAAGTCCCCAGCAGAGTAGATCTCATACCCCAAGCCTTTGGACACAAGTTATAAAAATCATTTATCTTGCCTAGATAAAAAAATCCCTTCACCAATTAAAAGAACATTACAATGGAATAATATCTACATAGTCAACAAATACAATGTAAATAAATGCTTGACTGTTATATGTCACATTAAAGATAGATAGTAATCTAACTGAATATTAGTATTTTATAGGATTTACAGAAATAGAAAGTTTTACAGAGCACCTGTTCTATTCACAACATCTTAGAGAAAATAAAAGAGGGTTTCACATTACTGAGTCACTTTAGAGATAAATAAAAGAAAAAAACTCTCCCAGTTATACCACTATGAAATTCAATTAATAAAATACTAGTTTCTGTAATAATTAAGTACAGTGTTCTAGTGCTTTAGAAGTTTAATATTAAGAAGACTTACCTGTTGAGAGCCATTATTTTGAGTTGAAACATTACTGTGAACACTGTAAGGGAGAAAGATCCATTAAAATCTATTAAAAACCATATATAGGGCTTCATGTTGTCAGATGACAATGAAAGTAGCTCTATTTTTAAGTACATTAATTTTGTTTCAAATAAAGAAAAAAATTACTGTTGATTAAAACAAAGATGTGCCGAAACCGGTTTGGCTCAGTGGATAGAGCGTCGGCTTGCGGACTGAAGGGTCCCAGGCTTGATTCCGGTCAAGGGCATGTACGTGGGTTGCGGGCACATCCCCGGTGGGAGATGTGCAGGAGGCAGCGGATCGATGTTTCTCTCTCATCGATGTTTCTAGCTCTCTATCTCTCTCCCTTCCTCTCTGTGAAAAATCAATAAAATATATTTAAAAAAAAAAAAAACAAAAAAAAAAAAACAAAGATGTAAGGTGCCCAGAAAACATTTGCTTTTATAAGCACACACTTGCTTTTTCTATAGTCTGCTTATTTCGTATTTCCATGTATTTTAATTGTGCTTTAATTGTATTTTAATTGTTCTTTAGATGTACTAAATGTGTTTTAGATGTACTACTAATCTTGTTTATTCACTGGACAATATATCTCAAAGATGACAAAATAAAGATAGCAGCACAACTGATGCCTTAAATTCAAGGCATTAAGCACAAACACATACATAATCTTATCTGTCACTTCTTTTGTATATTCTTACCCTCTCAAGATTTTCCAGTGTCAGCAATAGCTCACCATTTTATAACTCAAAAGGCCTTAGTATAAAGTTAGAAACTTCTCTGTATACCTTTCCTTTCAAGTGATTTATTAATATGTTTTTAAATTTTTAATTTCACTCATTTTCTTCCCTGCCTCTCACAAAGCACTTAAAAAACCTAAAGCTATAGTTCAACAAAATAAATAGGAAAACTCAGAACAGCTGCTAAAAAAAAAAAAAAGAACAAACATTCAATGAAATAAGAACTCAAAAAGGAAATAATACCACAATAAAATGAAGGAAGAGAGGATACTTTCAGACCCTCTAGAATTAGCATAATTAGTATTCTAAAGTAAAGAATTCAACTAAGGTAACAAAAATTTTGTTCAAAGTTATTTAAAAAGTTCCTTGAAAATGATAAAGTAATGAGATTTAATGAGTGCCCTGGCCGGTGTTGCTCAGTGATTAGTGTTGGTCTGTGCACTGAAGGGTCTCGGGTTTGATTCCATTCAAGGGCATGTACTTGGGTTGTAGGTTTGATCCCTGGCCCTGGTTGGGACATGTGCAGGTGGCAACCAAGCAATGTTTCTCTCTTCCTATCCCCCTCTTTCTTTCCCCCTCCCCCCTCCGTTCCACTCTCTCTGAAAAGCAATGGAAAAAATATCTTCAAGTGAGGATTCTAAAAATTAATTTAAAAAAAGAATACCTCTTAAACACATATACATGCAAAAATAAACATCATAAAATCGTTTTAAAAATAAGATTTAATGAGCACCGTGTTCCAGAAAAAATGAGATACAGACTAAATACATTCAGCCCTTTATTGTTAAATTACTGACCTTCGAGAACAAGTAAAGAATATTTCAGTTACCCCAAAGGAGATTTAAAAGCCAATTATTGTTAGTATCAGGTTGGCACAGACTTCCCAATAGCAATACTCAAGAATATTATACCCAGCCAAGATGTCTTTCTAATACAAGGAAATAGGCAAAGCTTATCAATCACCAACAAACTCTGAATGCAGCATCCAGGAGCCTTTCTTAGAGGAGTAAGAGCAAAACAAAAACTATCTAATGATGAAAGACAACTAATTAAAAAAGGATTCACATGCCCTGGCCAGTTTGGCTCAGTGAATAGAGTATCGGCCCGACGACTGAAGGGTTGCAGGTTTGATTCCCGATCAAAGGTGTGTAACTCAGTCGCAGGTTCCCCAGCCCTGGTAGGGGTGCATGTGGAAGGCAACCAATCGATGTGTCTATCTCACGTTGAGTTTTCTCTTTCTCTCTCTCCCCCTCCTCCCTCCCTTCCACTCTCTCTAGAAATCAATGGAAAAAAATATCCTCTGGTGAGGATTAAAAAAAAGAACTCACAAATGAAAAAGTCTTGCTAAAAGGCTGAGTGATGAAGGAAGTCATTTTATGTTTTGTTTTTTTTCAATCCTCACCCGAGGATATGTTTTTATTAATTTTAGAGAGAGGAAGGGGGAGAGACAGAGAGAAATATCAATGTGAGAAACATTGGTCGGTTGTTCTTATATGCACCCCAACCAGAGATCAAACCCACAACCTAGGTATATGCCCTGACCAGGATGTATAGGTATACAGGATGACGCTCCAACCAACGAAGCCACTCAGCCAGGGCCATTTCACACTATTTTTAAATTAATTACATCTCTATTATAAGTTGAGTCACCAGAATTTGCACTACCATTGCTTGGATTCAAATCCAAGCCACAGCACTAGCTCTTACTCTCAGAATCTCAGGTTCTTCATTTGCATGAAACTATTAGGAATATTAAATTAATTAATAATAGCAAAGCACAAAGAACACTGATAAATAAAATTAACTGAACCCCCCCCCAAATATTGTTTAATGTAGATCTGTTGCCAAGGCAAATGTAAAAATATACATGTCAGGCATGAGTTATTTTTACTACTAATAATGTTGCTCTTCTCAGAGTACATTATATGCTGGTTTAAGTAACCAATAATCCCAAATTATCAATGAAATCTGATCCAACCTGCTTGGTACAGAAATTAGACTCGCTACTCTATGGTCCCCTAAATTACTCTCTGGAGCTTTTCCTTAAACTGGGAATAACCCCAGGAAGTGATGGATAAAAGATGAATAATAATATGAGGAAAAAGGACTTAAATAACTGATGTTAACTGGATCAGAGCTCTTTGATTTCAAACAATTTGAAATGTTGAAAGTACTATTTTCTCATAATAATACAGATTCTTTCAACTCCACTAATATGAAAGTAGGAGGACTTCTCACTACTGACATAATCTAAGATTCCCCTTTTAAAGGATTACCTGCAATACTGACACCTGTTGCTTTTATACCACCTCTATTCATCATCTCCTCCACCTTCTTCTTTTCCTCTCTTTTCTGTCTGAAAAATTCTATGGAAAGCCTGTACAAAAATGTGATCTTTTAAAATGTCACCTCTTAAGATACTTTGTATTATTAGTCAAGACTCACAAGAAAATAGAAGCTAAAATAGTACAAGTAAAATGACTGACATCAGCCAATTAAAAAATTTGTTATTCAAACTGGCACAGTACAAGGTCAAGAAGCTTTTTAGGTCAAATAGTTTTGCTTTTTCAAACCTACTGTTTTCCACAGTTCACTGGAGCAAAATTGTTCATGCAAACAGAACTACAAGGGCAAGACTAAAAGGGCATTCATACCAGTCCAAGCTCAGGCTCTCAAGCTCGCATGGAGTAATGCTCAATAACCTTCAGTCAGGAGAGCTGAGTGCCCCCCAACCACCACTTTCATTTCTAAAAGTTTATTCTAATAAAAAAATAATAAAGTATCATCACTTAAATATCCTATTTCTAATGTGTTCATTACTCAAGAAAAAAATTCATTATTAATTTTAATTTTAGGAAACTATACAGTCACTCACTTTCTAGTCAGAAATGTGTATTTCAAAAAAATTTTAAAGGATGACAAACTTACATAATGAAAAACTTAATTTTTCAACTACAAATTGTTTATATTTCTGCTGACTTCACCAGGTTATATTCTTTAAGATCTAATATTCTGTCCTAGCTTCCCTTTCAGGAAAGCAAGACATGATCTATTAAACAAACAAACAAAAAACAAATTAAAAAAGTTAAAAAAATACAGAACACCTCTAACATTTCTCCACCATTATCTTGACAGCACTGGTTATATATAACTCCAAAGAAAACAAAATAACCAACAGCTAAAGAAATTTCAGGGATACCTTTCAAAAAGCAGAGTGCTTTTGTGGTGAATCAATAATCACAGCATGGCTTTCTAGGTGAAAAAAAACTAAATAAAACATATCAAGGTGAGGCTGACCATACTCAGTGTAGACAAATTTTAAAAAGAAATAGATTTTAATGTCCTAAATCTGATATTTTAACAGGCATTCCAGGAACCTGATACATATCAAGGTTGAGAAGCATTATTTGAAACTATATAATGTAATATACACTATTACAATTTACTGCTTCATCAGAAGTAGGACTTCTAGAATGGTGGGTTGAGGATCCTCTCCCAGCAAAACAAAGATTTAGCTAGTGACAATTATTTTTGTTTAAATCATCAGAAGGCATATATCAAGTGGAAAAACATTTATTCAAGAAAAACTCCTAATTCTCAAGAGCCAAGCCTGGAATTAAGCCACAATTTGCTCCCCTTTCCCATTTTCCCAAGTTCAGTGTTGTGGAAGCTCTACTCCAGGCTGGTGCAGCCAACAAAATGAACTCTCTCTCAACAATACAGACTTTAAATCAGTTATTTTAAATATGTTCAGAAAATAAAGAAATCAAATCTAAAGAAATAAAGGAAAGTATGAGAACAGTGTCTCCACAAATAAGAGAATATAATTCAAGAGTGAAATTATAAAAAAAACCCAGAAATTTTGGAGTTGAAATGCACAATAACTAAAATGAAAATTCACTAGGAAAACACAACAGCGGATTTGAGCAGGCGGAAGAATAAATAACTTGAATATAGGCCAAGTGAGATTATCTAGTCTGAGCTACGGAAAGAAAAAAGAAAAATAAAGAAAGACTGTAGGACACCTTTAACTGTAGCAACATGTATAATGGGAGTCTCAGGAGAAAAATGCAAGAAGGTAATTTGAAGAAATAATGGCTGAAAACTCCCAAATTTGATGAAAACAATATACCATAGAAAAGCAACCAGAAGAGAACTGGATGGTAAATACTTGTATCAGACAAAATAGACTTTAAAATTAAAATGTTAGTAGAGAAAAAGAGAGACATCCTATCTAATAAAGAGGGAATATGCTAATTGACCCTCACACTGTCACAAAGATGGCTGCGCCCACAGCCAATAAGGAGGGAATATGCTAATTGCTGCCCTGCCCTCAAAGATGGCGGCGCCCACAGCCAATAAGGAGGGAATATGCTAATTGCTGCCATGCCTTCAAAAATGGCGGCGCCCAGGGCCACAAGATGGCAGTGCCCAGTCCCCTCAGCCCCGCCCCCAGGCAGGCCCGGCCTTGCCACGAGCCTGCTTCTGGGGTCCCCCAGTCCCCTCAGCCCCCCAGCCGCCCAGGGCAGGCCCAAGGTGCAGGTAACCAGGGCCCGCCGAGGCTTGCGCTGCCAGCAGTGGAAGCAGCAGAGGTGTGATGGGGGTGTTGCCTTCCCCTGATCGCTGGGTCGCCTCCCGCCCCTGAGGGCTCCCGGACTGTGAGAGGGAGCAGGCTGGCCTGAGGGACCCCCCCTTCCAGTGCATGAATTTTCATGCACCAGGCCTCTAGTTTTATCATAACAAAAGAATCCAACAATTATAAACATACTAGAGGCCCGGTGCACAAAAATTTGTGCACTCGGGGGGGAGAGGGGGTCCCTCAGCCCGTCCTGTGCCCTCTCACAGTCTGGGACCCCTCCGGAGATAATGACCTGCTGGCTTAGGCCTGCTCCTGGGTGGCAGAGGGCAGGCCCAATCCCTAGGTGCAGCCCTGGTCGGGCTCAGAGCAGGGCGATGGGGGAGTTGTGCACTGCCCCCTGTCATGCACAGAGCAGGGCCGATCGGGAGGTT